TCAATTACTTAGTTTTGAATGGCTAGATCAAACATAGTAATCTTTTCATCAACAAAGTTTACATCCAATGCGGATATAATAATGCAAGTATGTATTGTAAAATGATAAATATTAAATTTCAGATCTATCTAGCAAAGGAGATCGAGTTTTTTCTTAAAGGAATTTAGAATTATGTGCACTACACATACATTAGAAATATTATCTAATAAAAGTTAAGCCTAAATGTCCTATAATGAGGGCGATTCATTACTCTATTTTAGCCAGTGCTTTCAGTGCTTTGATCAGAGTTAAAGAGAATAAAATTCTGAGGCGGAAATAACATTCTGTGTGTGCGTGTGATTTTTTTATTCTGTTTCAATCTAAATTCAAAGTTTTTGGTTAAAAGGTTTTACGAAAATTTTTTCCTGAAACCCGGGGGTTTAGAAAAACCAAGTGGGCCCTTTTAAAAAAGGACCCCTTCATTTTATTTAAAAAAAGTAAATTTTTTTTTAGCCAGATATCTTTTATTTTTAACCCAATTTTTTCCCGGGTTTAAAACAAAAATTTTTTAATTTAAATTTCACGAAAACCTCCCAAATTAAAAAATTTGAATATTTTTTAAAATTTTTGTTTTGTCAATTTTTTTGAAATTGGGAAAAAATTTAGCTAAAAATTTATCTTTTAAAGGGAAAAAAACCCTTGGGGTTCAACAAAAATGTAATTTTCTTTTTTAATTTTTATTTTTAAATTTTTCTTTTGAAAAATTTTTTTTTCAACCAAAAACATAAAACAAAAGAAAATTAACAAACAAAACCATTATTTGCTTTTTAAAATTTATGGATTTTTTTGGTATTTTCCGGGGGTTTTGCACTTTTTGTTGGCCCCCCCGAAAACACCCAAAAAAATTTTCCCCTTTTTTGCCCTTTTTTTACCCCGGGGAAAACATTTCACCTTTAAAAAAGGGTTTAAGGGTGTTAAAAAAAAAATTTTTGTAATTTAAATTTAAAAGGGGTTTTATAAATTTTTTACAAAAAAATTAACCTTGAAACGGTAAGGTTTTTATAATTTTTAAAGAAATGTAAAAATGTCACGGTTTAGAAATGTTTTTATAATCTTAGGGGGAAAATGTTTTCAAGGGGTTTTAGGGACTCAAAACCCCGACCCCCGGAAAGGTTCCGCGGGCCCCTCCGAATGAGCTATCGGGGCCCGGCTTTTAATTTTTTCTTCCCTATATAGGGGAACTTCTGAAACCCTGAAAATTTCTCCCCTGCTAATTGAAATTTTAAATTTTTACGAAATTACAGGGCAATGTTAAAATTTAAAATCTGAGCTATATCAGTCACGGCCCCACGTTATACCGTTCCGCGGCTCTACCGACTGAGCTATCCGGCTGCTTACACATCTTCTCCCCTATATAGTGAACAGTTCTGAACCGTGACATAAGCTTGTTATTGTTACTGAAATATTCTATTTTTAGAATCATTATTTATTTATTAAATAATTAATTTTTGTCATTTTTAGCATATAAGTAATGTATAAGCAATATTCCTATTTTTAATAAGGACAGTAAAGTAATTATATTGTTTTCAGCATTCTAATAATTCACTATGTATAAACGTTCCTAAAATTGAATGTTACCTTTCTCCGAATTTCATGTTAGATTGTGGACATTTTAGAAAGCACGATTATTTCTTTATTCCTGGATTAACATGTCTGTTACTCCACATTTTTGTAGTATCCATTATGTTTTGATGTTATAATCAGTAATTATTCATGAAACATGCTCTAATCAATTTATTTTTGTCAAAATAATAATTCCTAAAACTTTCCCAAAATGTTCATGGAGGCTGCCATCTTTGTTTTAGGTACACAAGTACCGATATCTGTTGTTTGTTTAGAAATGAAGCATATTTGACTTTATTGTGTAACATGTATTTTGTATTATGTGATTATAATGTTTGCTTCTCAAATTGTTCAAGAGATTTATTGTAATAATTTATTTGTGTAAAACAAGACCGCACTATTTGTTCGGTCATTCGCGTAGTAAAGTTGGGTTGTGGAATCACCCTAATTCTCTTTAAATTGTAATAATCCTGCTAAATTACCATAAGTATTTAATTGAGATGTATTTAATAGCGTAAGTGTTATTTCTCAACATAATGATTACTTACAACTTTATATGTTTACTTTGTATTTTGTAATTATGATCTGTTGAGCTGTTTACTCATTTTAGGATGGGAATTCCTAACCGATTCTGATTGGCTTAGATAAATCCTAAGTGCAATCTGATTGGTCGGGAATCCTTTCCTAAATTCCTAAACGGCTCAAAGGTTATAAATAGAGCGACAGTCCTCATTTTGGAACAACAACGCCCACTAAAGTTGCTTAGGCGCGATAATTCAAAACTGAGCAGAAAACATCAAAACTGAATTTTAGTAAGTTTCTATTTAGGAAAGACTCCTAAATCACATTGGAATATGTATTAAACTTTTATTAAGCAACTTTTCCTGAATGAGAGCTGACGTACTTCATGTTATAACTTTTAATCCTAAACTAAACGGATATTAGACCAAAGAATCCAAACTTGATAAAAGCGTTGTTGACTTATATTTTAGGAAATCATAAAATCACTTAACATAGCGCCTTATGAAATGATGCCGAAACTTATTTCTGTATATTGATGATAAGATATATTAAATGTTAGAATATATGCAGTTTATGTATACAAAACTATGTATACACTATTAAACCAAAGAATTGAAACTTGATGAAAGCCTTGTATTATTTATTCCGGAAATCCTAAAGAAAAGATTCTACTAATATAACATTGAAACCGGGTGCTGTATATAATTGGTGCTAAGTTAGCATATATGTTTATACAGTAGAACTTGTGGCGTATTTTTGAAACAGCTATCCTGACACTGCAGCAAAAGAACGTTACAATAATGACCAAACATGGCTCACTTGAGATGATTTAAATGTGCCTATAATGTTCCATATTTAGTCAGGCCAATTTTGACCCTAGGGTCATAATTTACTTGACACTAGCGTCATAATTTAACTTTCCGACATGACTACAAAGTAAACTTCGTATGAAATGTATGAACACTTGGCACTAAAGTATCTTCACACAGAAAGATATAAACATGTTTTCATATAAAAGTTTATGTAAAATATGTGAACTCCAGGGTGGGCCTAATTTTGATTTCAGGGGTATAACTTATATAAGTTTTGATGAGGAGTATCAGTATATTTATTACAGGTCATTATAAGGGACATGTTTCTAGTTCCTCAGAATCATTGATTCCAATACATTAAGGGTTTTTAGGTTGGGTTATAAGTCAAACCAACAAGGTATATGTCAAATGGCGACTTTCCTGGACTTGAGAGACCTCAGGCGCCTCTTTGTGTCTAACTTTAGGCACTTGATTATAACCACCGCAGCCTCTCCTGTATTGAGATGCACATAAAAGAATCACTTCTAAAATTTTAATCAAATAAATGATATTATTCATCCATCCCTGTGAAATGCTTGACCAGACACAACTTGTTGTTGCTAGATTCTTCTAGCAATTTTTCTTCTTTTATTCCAGACATTTTAACAGATTTTGTTTGTTTGTTTAGGTTTTACGTCACATCAACACAGTATAGGTCATTTGGCGACGTTCCAGCTTTACTGGTGGAGGAAAACCTCAGGTGCCCTTCCGTGCATTATTTCAGGCACAAACGGGCACCTGAGTAGAAGCACCGTTGCTCCGTAAGCTAGCTGGATAGCTTCCTCACATGAAAAAATCTAAAGTCACTGTTGGCATTCCAACCCACAGCGGTGAGGGGCAAGTAATTTCAGAAATGGTTAAAAATGAAACAGTAAAAGGCCTATGACACGTATGAGGACTTTGTGGTCAGCTACATGCTTAACATGTTTTTGATAGCCGACAATTTGCTTTTATCCAACATACGCCCCTAGGCCTCGGAAGTGTTTATATAAAAGGCACTTTATATATGGTAATGTAACATTAAGCACTACCAGTCTGTTTTCCTTTTTACATTCTTTTGCTACCCTTGATTTAAGCCTTTTATTACATTCTTTCCGTGACAAATGTACCCTTTTCATTTAAATTTCATTGGTTTATATATAAACAAAGAGTTTAATGGCGTTTATGAAATAAATTTGCATAAATAACAATTAATAATTATGGTTTTATACCATCAAATTAATTTTAAATTAAATCTGATCTATATTTATCTTTCAATAAACTGCATGAATCGATATGATAATCAATTTAAATGTTTCACACCATGCACAAACATTTTCTTATTGATTAAATTGAAATATTGAATATGGAATAGCCTTTTCAAAAGTAATTATATATACAGATTGCACTTTTCATCTATTGAATGATTTATTAATGTATACTCTGTAGTGAAACACTATTATGACTAGATTTATGCGGATTTTTTTAAAGTATTAAGTGTATGTATATATTTTTATTTAGTATTTGCACAAAATATATACATGTACATGTATATCTTAAACTTCGTGGTCAGGTGAGCTAAAAATACAATAAATATATTGAGATTTATTTTTTACTTAAAAAAAAAAAATGTTCAATTTTGTTATTATTTCAGGGGACACTATTTTGATAAGACTTGAAATAGGTTTTCAACATTTGTACAACAGAACTGATATAGTTCTGGACAAATAACTTACATGCACAATTTCAAATCACTCTGTTGAGAATAATCATTTCATTAGTGCATCTTAATCTTAACACCTTAATAGTGTTTGAAATTAATTAATTAATTAATTAAATTAATTTCTGAAACCTATTTGTGCATATCTATATATCAAAACAAATCACAATTGTAATTTGCTTAAACAAAGCACAAAGAATTCGAGAAAAGGGGGTGTTTTTTACAGCAATAATTAAGAGCAGTAATTATCAGAAATACAGTAATGTTAATTTGAAGCTGTGCTATATGTGTTCCTGTTGGTCTATATTTCTACATATTACACTTACGATTGTCTGTGTCATCAGCTATAAATATCATATAGTACATATACATAATCATATCATAATAACTGTCATCTTTGTTTTTGGTGTTTTTTTTTACATGCAAGTTATTGCAACACTATTAAAGGGACTCCACTGAGGTTTTTTGACGCGACAGAGTTGGAAATATTTTTCTGAGATTTGTGTACCATTTAATGTCGGTCTAGATAAATAACTTATGCGCACATTTTCAGATCATTCCCACACCCAGTTTTTCCAGATTCATCAATTGTTAGTGTACTAAATGACCCAAAAATGAAAAGCGTTGCTATGCTTTTCACTCAAATCAGACTAAGAATAGCCAAAAAATTCGGCTTTTTGACCTCAGTGGAGCTCCTTTAAGGTCATGTGACATTTTCCCAGCTTTAAAGGGAAAGGAGCACCTCGGTTTTGTTTTCGCTGTTAGGGAAGAGACATTATGGCTTTTGGGTATGTCTTCCAATTAACATTATGAGGCTCATTCCATACAAACTAAAATTCTGGGGACAAAAATATTAACTGTGGGGTTAAATATGACCAAAAAAAAAAAGATGGAAGTAATAACCCCTTAAAGTAGGTCTCCTAAGAATGTCAATGCATTATTTTAGGCATGAGCTGGCACCTCAGTAAAACCACCAACCCTCCGTCTGCTAGATGAATATATATATTAGTATTACTTCTAAGTACTGGTATTATTGGTTTTACAAAATACTGGCTAAGAGGTATAAAATACAGTGTATATGCATTTAACAACATCTATTATGACAACATCACTTTGAAAATTACACAAGCTGTAGCTAAAAATACATTTAATTACATAAAGTAGCTACAAAAAGGCTAAATAAATATATGAAAAACTAACTAAAAATTAATTTCCATGCACAAAATGAAAACTCCACAAAACAAGAAATGAACTAGAAAGACTCCTATATTTGAACTAAATGTTCACAGTATTCTAAACGAAATTCAAAAATGTATTTGTTTAATACACTAAGTTTTGGTGATCTAAAGCACTTTTTACAGTCTTTTTCATTCACATATAATTATTCAATTTTTTTCTAAAATACAATAAATTATGTTGTTCAAATGTAAATAAGGTTTGAAGAAATATCTGACTTCAGGCCCATCTATGAATCAAATTTCAATCAAGGTTCTATAAACCAAATCAAAAAGAAACTTACCTGATTTTAGGAACCAGAAATCACAGTCGGATATTTTTTTAATCTGCCAGATATCCCCAGGCATTTTCTCTTCCTCTTCCCCTTCCTCCTACAGAACATAATTTATGTATCAATCATTTTAATTTTTTTTTTGCTACAATTATTCAAGCAAAATACTTCCATCCTGAGAAAGTTTTCTGAAAGTATGAACCTTAACAACATCTTATTTTTATCACTCTAGTGCAATACCATCTTGTACAAGATTTCATTATCCCATGATAAGCAGAATACAGCCAATTCTTATGTAAAAATTAGACCCCCCGACTTATACATGCTCCGAGTCTTATATATGAGTAAATGCAGTAGCTAAGAGCAAATATTTGCATTTTTTTGGTTATTTTCCATAATTTAAGAACTATTCTGGGTAAAAACAAGGGTGCCATAGTCACAAAATACGCCCGTTTACGAAAAAGCTTTAGATGGAGATGGGGGCATTATGGATAAGTGTTATCTAGCAAGCAAGTTTTTGTTCTTGGCACTGTGTTGTTAAATGAACCTTAAAACAAATCAATAGGGAAGATATGCACAGAATGTGTGACCTTGACCTTGGTCGCAGGGACCTGAATTTTATGCACGGCACTCAGCCTCACAATGATGAACATTTGTGCCAAATTATATTGAAATCCCTCTATGCATGTAGAAGTTTTGCTCCAGACAAGTGTTTTTCTATGAGCTCTAACTGTGACCTTCACCTTTGACCTAGAGACTTGGTTTATGTGCAGGGCATTACGTCTCATGGTGGTGAACAATTCTATAAAAGTTACATTAAAATTCCTCCATGCATGTAGAAAATATGCTCCGGACAACATCTGGATATTTAATCATCTCCAGTGACCTTGACCTTGCAAATATTAACCTAAATTAAATGTGTAACACCTGTAGTCATGATAGTTACCATTTGTGCTACAATCCATCAATAAATGATGACTAAATGGTCCCTATAACCATCTTCAAATTTTTATCTGAACTTTGACCTCTATGTGTAACCTTGACTTTGGTCGCAGGGATCTGAATTTTGCATGCGACACTCAGCCTCACAATGGTGAACATTTGTGCCAAGTTATATTGAAAACCCCCTATGAATGTAGAAGTTTTGCTCCGGACAAGCGTTTTTCAATGAGCTCTAAGTGTGACCTTGACCTTTGACCTGGAGACCTGGATCATGCATGGAGCAATACATATCATGGTGGTGAACATTTCCATAAAGTATTACAAAAATTCTTCCATACATGTAGGAGATATGCTCCAGACAAAATCTGGATATTTCACCATCTTTAGTGACCTTGCCCTTGCATTTATTGACCTAAAGTACATGTGTCACAGCCGTAGTCATTATAATGACCATTTGTGTTACAATCCCTCAATAAATGATGATTAAATCGTCCCTATACACATCTTCATATTTTTATCTTTTTTTAAACGGGCGTATAAAAAGTACATGTAATTTAATAACTAAAAAATTCTAATTTAAGATTTTATTCTAGGGAAATACATTTCATTACAATTCTTAATCTTTGAATGAGCTGAACTGATATTTACTTGAAAATTAAAATATAATTAAATTTCTATGAGAAAGTATTTACATTTGATAAGGTGTAACGTGCACGGGCTAGCTGTTATATATATAATTTTTCTTGCGGCTACTTTACCAGTTGATTAGTTACAAATGATTATGCAATAATTTGTTTAAACTTTGGAATCAAGTTTAATTAACTAATGTTATAACAGTAATGTGCTTGAAAGATAATAAGTGGTCCTTGAACTTGATATAAAATTGGGGTGACACTTTTTAGGCTACTTAATATATATATAGAAAAACCACTTGGATATCGAGTTTTCAATACTTTAGTAATAACAATTACACCTAACGCAATGTTAAATTGATGCAATTGAAATACTTCGTAAATAGTGCAAGAACCCAAGTAATTAAACTAAAATATTAATTAATTATTTCTGTAGTGTTGACACTTCGGCAGCTGGACAGAGACTGACTGTCAGCAGCTTTGAGCTCTATTTATACCCAATAACGTAGCTGTATTTAATAATCGTTTGGTGAAGTTGAGGATCTCAAGCATCCAAAAGATATTGATAATGTTTCGAATATTGGTACGAATGGCATTGAGTTCGAATGATTTTAAGGACGAATAGTTCTGACATTTTAGAAATAATAAAAATATGCCCCATTATATCAAATTATTGCTACAAATAAGTTGTTAAATCTATTAATTTAGTTTTTATGTATTTCTTACTTATTTATAAAAGATCAAACTCTATTTTTAAACACACGAAAGCATATTTGTTTACAATTTAATTTACCGACAATTTAGGTACAAAACCACTAAATATCACTAAAGAATCTAGGCTGAAGAGAACAATCGTCACAAAGGTAATTACTGTATGATCTTTATGAACAAATACCAAGTCTACAGAACACCATAGTTATCACAGTTAAGAATCTTGACCAATGAATGAAACATGTGTAAATAAATGTTACATTCTTTAGAACATACTCAAGTCCAAGAAAGAGGATTATTTCATGCCCTTTGATTAAATTCTATTTTTAGAATTGAAAGTGAAAATGGATCAAGGGGAGTAATTGTGTAAGTCATTTATGAACAAAGTAATAACTTTGTTGTCTCCCTTTGATTAAATTCTATTTACAAAATCTGGATATTTCATCATCTTTAGTGACCTTGACCTTGTATATATTGACCTAAATTATATGTATCACAGCCATAGTCTTGATAATGACCATTTGTGTTACAATCCCTCAATAAATGATGACTAAATGGTCCATATAAACATCTTCATATTTTTATCTGAACTTTGACCTCTATGTGTGACCTTGACCTTGGCCGCAAGGACCTGAATCTTGCACGCGACACTCCGCCTCGCAATGGTGAACATTTGTGCCAAGTAATATTGAAATCCCTCTATACATGTGGAAGTTTTGCTCCGGACAAGCATTTTTCAATGAGCTCTAAGTGTGACCTTGACCTTTGACCTAGAGACCTGGTTCATGTGCGCGACACTGCTCCTCATAGTGGTGAACATTTATATGAAGTTTCATTAAAATCCCTCCATACATGTAGGAGATATGCTCCGGACAAAATTGGACGCCGCCCGCCCGCCCGCCAGGGGCGTTCCCATAATACGTCCCGTTTTTCAAACGGGCGTATAAAAATGAGAAGGCATACCCAATAAACTCATTTTTTACCCAGAATTCAGTCCGGAAGCATTTGTTGAATCTATTACCCTCAGTGATTCTTCTCCTTATATAACAGAGGTCTATGAAACGCCCCATCATAAATTAAAATTTTATGAACTTACATAAGACTTTTCACTTCCAAAATTAGCAATTTTAGCCATTTTTTCCCCAAAATTAAGAGGCTAAGGTCTATTCCCAAATTATGTGAGAAAAACCTCTTACCCTATTATAATACATGAGATATTTACCTGTGCTCCAGAGCCCCTACTGTTGTATTTACATGAGACTATACCAAGGTTTTTAATGGCAGCTGACATGTCCATTGTCTCCGGACTCTGAATACTAACTCCATCTGAAATCATTGTTAATATATCAACACTAACTCCATCTGAAATCATTGTAAATACATCAATACTAACTCCATCTAAAATCATTGTAAATATATCAACACTAACTCCATCTGAAATCATTGTAAATATATCAACACTAACTCCATCTTAAATCATTGTAAATATATCTATCAAATTTTAAAGCAAAATTAATGGCATAATTATTGTTTCCAGACCGAAATTAATTTTTTTAAGGGAACAAGGTAAATATAAAATGATGAGGGCATAATACAACAAAATAATTATATGAATGAAGGCATCACAAAAGGATAGGGTATAACTGTATATAACAGTATGAGTTTTAAGGGCACTCCAAGAACTGGATACAGTCGACTCCCATTATCTGGAGTCGCCAGGACCGTCCACTAAAGTCAAGATAATGAAACTTCGAGATAAACAAATAAGCCATAATAAGGGTTTTGACCAAATAGAACCTAATTTTTCTACATCAGGGTTGGACATATCTATTATTTACATCAGATAAAACTGAATAAGATGTACTTTTTTATTTCATTAGTGCTTGGCACAAAATAACCAGGATAACAAAACGACAAGGACAAGAGAACAAGATATTTGACTTAAACATTAAATTCTATTTAAGCTCGATTGCGAAACAAGTTCTTGCAACTTATATTAATCACTTCTGAGTCTGCTTCCTGGAGCCAACCAGTACTAATGTCATATTAAGAAACATGGTTGTGACCTGATTAGGGCTCGAACCCATGATCCCTGGGTTGAGAGGCAGACATCTTAACCACTAGGCCACAGCTCCCTTTAATGTACCAGGATATTAAATAACTTACATCTAACATGAGGGCACTAGTATCTTGTTTAGACTGGTCTTCAATCATGATAATTTCTGGTCTATCTATTGAGACAGATATATTCATCTCACCAGCCAAGGGCTCCCCAGGCTTCGGTTGTGCTGCAACTGCTGTTAAAATAAGATTGTCAATAAATATGTTTGATAATTTATTGCTTAAACATATATTCAGTATAGATTGAACATTTGAATAATACCAAGGCAATAAATAAATTTAAATATACAGTTAAAACTGTCTTAAGCAGCCAGCCAAGGGATGCAGTCATTTTGGCTGCTTAAGACAGGTGGCTGCTGAATGGAGGATTCAGTTTTTATCCAAATTAATTATTTATTTCTTTGTAAAATAAATCTGATTTAAGTGTAAATAATCAGTCTGATTCATAATCATCATCATCATCAGTTTTTAACCATTTACAAACGTATGCCATTATTGGTTTAACATGTACATACTTCTTCCAACATAAAGCTTTACATGAATGTATCACAGATAAACAAATGCACTCACGATTTATTATGTCAATAATTGAAACTAATTATCCCATAAAAATATCTTCTTGCACATTAATTTAAAATGCGTAATATTTTCTTCACAAAAAAAAAGTATGACAGTTTCTTTTTCTAACTTTTGATCAGCAGAATATTG